TTATCCCATTGTTTCAGTCATTATGCCATTCCATCTCCTTGAGGATTTTCTTCATTGACCATCCATCTTTCCAAGTGCTAAGTGTTCCTCCAAAGGCTTGGCCCTGATGACAACATGCCAAAATAATGTGAGGTGAAATATCACAATTTATTTCCAAGGAACATTCTGACCTTATTTCTTCCAAGACAGATTTATTATTTCAACAGTCTTTGTTATAGGCAATATTTGCTGTCAGTACTACAATTCAAAATTATAAATTCTTTCTTGGCCTTCTTTGTTTATTGTCTAACTTTCATGTGCATATGAGACAATAAAAAATCCCAAAGCTTTTGTCAAGTGTACCTTAGTCATTAAAGTGACATTGTTGCTCTTAAATACTTTAAAGAAGACCTTGATAGCAAATTTGCTGAATCTAATATGTCATTTGATTTCATAACTACTGTTTGAATAGATGTTGATTGTGGATCCACATAATATTAAATTCTTGATAGCCTCAGTCTTTTCTCTGTTTATTATAGTATTATCTACTGGTCTATTGTGAAGATTTTTGTGGTATTTTGTTTCTTAGTTGTCTTTTTTAAAAATATTGAGTTGTAATTCAAGTATTACTAGTCCTTTTCACTTTCAGCAAGCAAGAATTTATCATATGCATATCATAGGTTGTTGATGTGTCTTCCTCCAATTCTTATGCCATATTTTCCTTCATACAGTTTCTGGGCTTTTTTTTTGTTCAGCATACACAGTGAATAGGTATGGTGAAAAGACACAGCACACCCCTCCTTATCCTATTCACACATATATCTTTTCTGATTTTAAACCATATTGTGTATCCTTTTATTCTGTACAAGTCTTGTGTTTTGGGTTGTGTGTTCAGGTTCTGTTTGATCAAAATGTTTTGGAATTCCCATTCCTCTCAAGTTATCTGTAATGTATTATGATCCTCAAAGCTGAATGTCTTTGTCTAGTCAATAAAATAAGAAAATATCATTTTGGTGTTTCCTACTTCCAGTCAAGATTCATCTGGAATAAGCAATGAGTCAGTTGCCTTTCCACATTTCTGAATCCAGGCTGAATTTCTGACAGTTATTTGTTTTATCGTTGCAACATTTTAAAAATACTTTCAGCAAAATTGATTTTGCTTCTCTATAGTATTAAATGCAAGCTATTCCCTTAAAGACTGCAAGACCCAGAAACCAGATAAGGGTCACAATGAGTTGGTATCATCTGGCTAGTAGTGGGAAATTCAGTAAAGGTAATTTTTAATACTGTTATGAAACTTGAAACTTTATATTTTCCAAATTTTACATTTCTAAAATGTAAATATTTATTGCACTGCAATTTCAAAGGCGAGAGGTTAAAATTCACCAGCTGAGTCAATGACAGCAACAACAAAAACAACAATGATGTAGTGGTTAAAACTCTTGACTGTAATCTTTAAATTTGAGATTTGAACCCACTAACCACCCTGTGGGAGAAAGATGTGGCCACCTAGTTCCTTAAATAGAACCCTATGGGACAGTTTTACTTTAGAACCCTATCAGGCCACAGTAAGTCAAAACTGATTCAGTGGCAATGAATTTTATTTGGGCTGGTGCAATAAGATTTGATTTGTGTAATTAGCGGTTTGTGAGACAGTAAGAAAGATCTTATTGGCCCTTTTGAGTATTTCCTAGTCACTAAAAAAAAAAAGTTCTATTGCTTTTACTTTACACCGTCACTAAAATCCTACCCAATTTGTTACACTTGAGTACTTCCTGACACATAGTAATTCACCATTGACAGGTTCCAAGGCTGTCAAGTCTGGAAGGAAACAGACTGCCTCATTTTTCTCCCCTGAGGTGAATGGTAAATTGGAACTTTTGACCTGTTAGATAACATCCTACTATGTATGTAAAGCACTGTACTACCAGGACTCCTTCAGAGATAGAAAAAGCACACTTAGTTTCTACTGTTCTCTGTATTTATATGTAATATAGTCAATTTTTGGACAAATGCCAACATTTTGAAATGTCTATATGTTGTTGTTGTTGTTATGTGCCGTCGAGTCATTTGCGACTCATAGCAACCCTATGTACAACAGCCCTAAACCGTGCTCTATCCCGTGCCAATCTCATTGCCTCTGACACACCCATCCCGATTACCCCAGTCACTGAATCAATCCACCTCATAGAGGGTCTTCCCCTCCTGCGCTGTCCCTCTATTCTACCCGGCATGATGGCCCTCTCTAAAGACCTGTTTCTCCTTACAACATGTCCAAAGTATGTCAGGCGAAGCCTCAGAATCCTTGTCTCCAAGGAGCAGCCTGGTTTAACCCTCTGTAGGATTAATCTGTTTGTTTTCTTGGCAGTCCATGGTACATTCAATACTCTTCTCCAGCACCACAGCTCAAAGGTGTCAATTCTCCTTCTATCCTCCCTAGTCATTGTCCAACTCTCTGATGCATAACAAGTGATTGCAAAAACCATGGCCTGTATCAGGCGCACCTTAGTCTCCAGAGAGACACCGTTGCTCTTGAGGACTTTAGAGAGGTTCCTAACCACAGACTTTCCCATCGCAATAAGTTTTTTTATTTCCTGGCTACTGGTGTCAAGAGTGTTGACCGTGGAGCCGAGCAAACTGAAGCTGTGAACAATCTCAATCTCTTCGCCATTCATCCTGATGCTACCAATTGGTCCAGTGGTGAGAATTTTTGTCTTCTTGACATTGAGCCTCAGTCCATACTGAAGGCTGCAGTCCTTGACCCTCTGCAGTAAGTGCGTGAGGTCCTCTTCAGTTTCACAGAGCAAAGTTGTGTCATCTGCATAATGCAGATTGTTGATAGATCGTCCACCAGTCCTAACGCCACACTTCTCATAGAGCCCAGCCTCTCAGATAATCTGCTTTGCAGATAGGACATATTCCTGGCATACACCCTTCCCAATTTTGAACCATGCAGTGTTGCCCTGCTCTGTTCTGACGACTGCCTCTTGGTCCAAGTATAGGTTTCGCATTAGCACGATTAAATGTTCTGGGATTCCCATTCTTCTCAGAGTCAGCCACAGTTTGTTATGATCCACGCAGTCAAATGCCTTTGCATAATCAATAAAACACAGATAGACATTCTTCTGGTATTCTCTGCTTTCAGCTAAGATGCATCTAACATCAGTTACAATATCCCTAGTACCACGACCACTTCTAAACCCATGTACCCTGCCTAAAATTTTATTCTATGATATAAATTTTGTTGCATACAGTAGAATCTGACCTGAGATCCATACCTAACCCTCTGACAGGTTTTCAGAGGCAGTTAATCACATGGGAAGAGACTGCCCATCCTTCTCCTGAGAAGCAGGAGGTGGCCTCAAACAGCATGCCTTTGGGATTGCAGCGCAGCTTCTTGCCACTAAGCCACCAGAGCTTCCTATGTTGCAAATATTTTATTTTTTTTTTTCAATTGCATTAGGAAAGTCTGCTGTTAGAGACCTCTCCAAAGTACTAAAGAGCAATGATGTCAGTCTGGAGACTAAGGTTCCCCTGGTACAGGCCATGTCTTTGCAATCACTTGGTATGCATCAGAGAACTGAACAATGACTAGGGAATATAGAAGGAGAATTGATGCCTTTGAGCTGTGGTGCTGGAGAAGAGAACAAACAGGTTTATCCTGAAGAGGGTGAAGCCAGGCTGCTCCTTGGAAGCAAGGATTCTGAAACCTCGTCTGACGTATTTTGGACATGTTTCAAGAAGAAACCAGTCCTTGGAGAGGGATGTCATGTTTGGGAGGGTGGAGGGACAGTGCAGCAGAGGAAGACCCTCTATGAGATGGATTGATTCAGTGACTGGGGTAGTTAGGATAGGTGTGTCAGAGACAGTGAGATTGGCACAGAATAGAGCAGGGTTTAGGGCTGTCATACATAGGGTCGCTATGAGTTGCAGGTGACTTGGTGGCACATAACAGCAACAAGAAGAACATCTGTTTTTCTTCACTATTATATCTATTTATTTACATGTGCTTAAAATTTTAAATTTCATAATTAGATAAATCGTAGTGACCTCAGGGACCCCATAGGATCTTCATGGTTCTTAGCCTTCAGAAGCAGATTGTCAGCTTTTCTTCCGAAACGCTTCTGGATGTCTTAAAAAAACAACCTTTTCTTTATCATCTGAGCTCTTAAGTGTTTGTACCACGCAGGGATTCAATTTCAAATATAAATTTTATTTTCTTCTGTTACCAAAAGTGACATCATTAGTTTTCCTATCTTAATGTATCATATTCTACATTGTATTATACAGATATTAGGAAAAGAAATTATTTTTCATGGCTTGTCTAGAGAAATAACTAATCTGGGAATGACACCAGCAGCCCACGCTTTGGTGCATATGAGAATAGTTGGACCGCTTCTCTGTCAGATTCCTGAACTTTTCATTCATGGATTCTGATTGAATACAGATGATAATGGCTTTGTTTATAAAAAAATAGTAAGTGATACTAATGAAAGGAATCAAAGAGTCATTAAGAAAACACTGACATAGACTTGAGACCGTGCATTTACAGGGTTAAGAGGCTTTAATGTCTTAAATAAAACATCCTTGACTAATTTGCTTAGTTCTTAGCAATCTATGATCATTCCTTTTAACTTAAACAACAGTTTTGAAAGTGCTTCTTGATCACTGGGCAATGTTCTGGATGCTGGGGTTGTTCTCCTTCCTTTTATAGAACCAATGTGAAGCTTGTTAAATATAAAAAATCCATGATCTCTATGTAATAATAGGCAGAATTGATGACTATTCTTTAAGAATTTCTGTTCTTCAACAGTGTGCCATCTAAAGCAATCAGTCTAAAATTTCAGAATTGAGATAAGAAACATTCAGGTAAAGAGAAAAAAAAACAACAATCCACCAGCATACAATCCTGTGAGTTTAGTTGACTTCTCTAGGCTCTCATAGATATTATTTATGAGCTGACAATTTGTCCCTCTGCTAGTGCATCTCTGTACACCTGCAGCTTATGGCATTTCTACCCTTCACCTGGAAGATGGGTACCTTCTCATCAACTTTTTCAGTGCACCTATAACTTCCTTGTTCCTGAGACTGTAGGCAAGGGGGTTCAGGAGAGGAGTGAGAACTGTTCCAAACAGAAAGAGACCCTGGTTCAGCTTTGGAGTCTTGGCAGCACCAGGTCTCATGTAAATGCACATACCTGGACCAAAATAGAGACCCACCACACACAGGTGAGAGGAGCAGGTGGCCAGAGCTTTGTTCCTGCCTTCTGGAGAGTTCATTCGGAGGACAGCAAGGAAGATGAGGACATAAGATGACAAGATGAGTGTTAAGGGCAGCAGCAGAACTAGGATACTTGTCACCACCACTGCCTTCTCATAGGCTGAAATGTCCTCACAGACAATCCTAAGGACAGCCATGACTTCACAGAAAAAGTGGGGGATCTCCCTAGGACTGCAGATGTGGAAATGTAAGGTGAAAGCAGTATGGCCCAGGGAAGTAAGTGCCCCACCAGCCCATGACATAGCAGCCATCTGGAAGCACGCTTTATGACTGATGATGACTGGGTACCTTAGGGGATTACATATGGCCACATAGCGATCAAAGCACATGAGAGTTATCAGGATGCATTCTGCAATGGCCACAGTCAGAGAGAAGAAAATCTGTGTTCCACATGCCAGGAAAGAGATCCTTCGCCACCCAGAGAAGAAGTTGACTGCCATCTTGGGGACGATGCTAGAGGTCAAGGTCAAATCCATCAAGGAGAGCTGACTAAGCAGGATGTACATGGGAGTGTGAAGTCGAGAATCCAACCAAATGAGAAGGATCAGAAGAGTGTTCCCAGTAAAGGCAGCTGAGAAGATCAGGAGGATGATGCAAACCATGGCTGTGATGTGTTTAAACTCTGGGAAGAAGCCCAGGAGGGTGAAATCTGTGAGTTCTGTTTCATTCTCTCTCCTCATCCTTTCTGTAGTGACAACAGAAAGGGAAGAGACCTTTAAAACTTGCCTAGAGATAAAAAAACATTGTTATTACATCTTATTTAAGAAGAACATTATAATAACAAAGACAAATATGAAATATAATATCTTGAATGAATGTTAAGTCTTTTTTCTGTATTCGTTGACAATTTTTGGCCTTTATTAGTTAGTGTAACCTAGAAACTAGAGAGATCTTAATGTAAGATATTAATATATTTATTCATTAAAGATGTTTTCATATTACCACAACGTCTATACCTTTTTTTTAATGATGGTAAAACATCCCATTGGGTTTATAATGCACATTCAAGAAATTGCAGTTTTCTCCTATTCTCCAGTTTTTCACTATTTTAGAGAATTATATAATTTGTAATTTGTGTAGTCAGTTAATTTCATCTTTTTTCCAAAAAAAAATTTGAGGAAAATTTATACTTTCTTTCAGGTCAACTATCATAGACCTTATTTGGTCAATTTCATTTATGAGAAAATTTTCCCAATGTTGAGATTTTCTTACCTTATTTAAAGATTCTGACTTTGGCCATCACAATTTAAAGGAAAGTGAATCATTAGAACTGTGCTTTCAGTTATGCACACTTATAATTATTTACATTTTTAACATTATCGCTCCAATTTCCTATGCAGTGAAAAACTCTCTTTAATAACAACAACATAGCACATTCAGATTAAATATCAAATAGAACATTTTCTTTCTACATGGACTTAGAGTTTTCTGTTGACAAAATCAGGCTGTTCTCCCCCCGACCCCCATCCCATTTAGCACTTGCTACATCATTGACATACTATTTTTGACACTTGCTACCAGCAGTTACATCATTAACTGGCATGGAGAAAATCCGTAGGGGTTATTTTCTCCAGATTTCCTCACTTTCCCTATCTTACAATTTCTTAGCTGTATGTACTCTGCCATTGAAATAGTTGCACCAACTTTTGCCTTGTAGTAACAGAGAGAAAAGCATTCGTTTCTTTACATGAGGCTATCACATCCTTGCAAAAAACTGACAAGAATATTTTATGGGCAACTGTAGACTGACTGTATGTATGATAAATTTCTAAAATAATATAAAAAACAAATTAACTCCATGAATGTATTAAAAATATAATTCTTTAATTTAAGAAAAAGACCAACATTAGAGCATTTATGATGGTAGTGTCCCACATTATAATCAATTAAGAGAAAAAGTGATGTGATTTTTCCATTAGATTAAAAGTAATAAGATTTATATTTATTAAACTCAAAATTAATGTAACGAGTCTATTTTTACTCTGAGTGACCCTATAGAACAAAACAGAATGCTAAATAGGATTTCCAAGGCTGTAAATCTGTATAGGAGCTTACTGCTATATTTTTTTCAAGATGCTGCTGGTGGGTTTGAACAATCAAACTTCAACAAGTTAGTGCTTAATCAATAACTATTAGGTCTCTTGGTAGTAAGAAAATGATAATATTTACTGTTTAACCTCTGCCCCATCAAAGTTCTTTGTATTACCCACCACCCACCCACCCACACACACACACTATTGCCTGTAAATTAGATCTGACTCATACCTGACTCTCTGTTGGGTTTCAGAGACTGTAATTTGTAGGAAAGGAGATTATTCATCTTTCTCCCTCAGAGCAGATTTCCAGATATGTGTTGCTTTTGAGTTAGAAGCACAACTTTCTATGGACTATGCTACCAGAGTCCCTCTATATGGAGGAAACGATGAAATTTTTCACTTTCTGATTTTAAAAGTACTCTAGTAGTAGGCTAGTCGTTATTACTTCCAATTGAGTCCATGTCATGTATGGACACCTCTTGTTTAGAACTGCTCCACAGGATTTTCAAGGTTATTATTGCCTTTCAGAACTGGACAAGACTTCTGTGTGCTTGAACAGACAACATTTCAAATAGTAGTTGAGCACTTACCTACTCCTTTCATCGTCTAGTATTGTAGATGATTTTTTTTCATTACTATTGAATTGGAACAAACTCATAGCTAGCCATCCTAGAGGAGGCCATCCATGGGAGGAGGTAATCACATTACCAAATTTTCTTCAGAAGAGCTGCTGATGGATTTGAAGTGCCAGAGGGCTTGACCTTTGGGTTGGCAGTGCAATTTCCTAGGGGCTATGCCACCGGAACTCTTATTGAAGATGTAGGAAATCAATAAACAAGAAGTAGAATGAAATACTTACCATGCCCTAGTCTTGATATGTGGCTTTCACTACTTATTCATTAAGAATAGAATGCCTAATGTAGCAGGATGTTCTTTTCTATTTTGACGTGTGTGTGTGTGTGTGTGTGTGTGTGTGTGTGTGTGTCAACAAGATCTAAATTTTCTTTGTTCTTTATGAGAAGGTCTAAAAGAATCTGTCCCTTTCCTTTGTATCCCCTCCCCTCCTACATACTAAGTAACAGTGAAAAGTAAGCTGAAATGCTAGCTCAATAGTACTTTCGCCAATTCCTATGTAGTTTTTATTAACTTCTTCTACTAGGCATTTAATTTAAATTTGTTTACTGAAAATAATGATCAATCTTAATCCTAGAAATTCTTCCTTTGCAGTGTTGCTCAGGGCTATGGAGAGTTTGATAATATCATCTAGCAATGTCAAAAAAAGACCTCTGCTTGTACACATCCAGCTATTATTTAGGCATATAAAAATGTTTTCAGATCAAGTGGTTACATACCAACAAAAGTCTACCATGTGTCACGGATTTTAATAATTGGATAAGTTAGCCTAACTGTTGATGTACAGATAAATTTAAGATTAAAAGCAAGAAGTATTTTAATGAAAAAATTGGCTAACATTCATCTTATTTTTCCTCCCTTGAAGTGCCTCTTGGAGCAAATCAATGGAATTTTATTTTTATTTTTTTTTTATGGCTTGTGTTTAAGCATTAAATAGTTGGAAACAAAGACTTCAGAATGACTAAAACTGACAATTGTCTAGCTTTACACAGAAGAAAAGAAGAGAACTGTAATTTAAATACCATATTATTCAGCTTCCTAATCATCATTCATGTTTAAGCGTTTCTTCCTAAGAGGAGACTTTTGGTATCCCCAGACTTAGTAAACTCATATCCTGGATTTTATATTTGAGTTAAAACTCAAACTCGTTGCTGTTGAGTAGGAACCAACTCAGACCTGACCCTTTACTAGGTTTTCAATACTGTAAATCTCATGTAAGGAGATTGCCCACCTTTGCCCCTCAGAGTTACTACTGAATTCAAATCACCAAAGATGCACGGCCTTTGAGTTAGTCGTACAACTCCCTGTGGACTACGTAATAGATACATTAAAATTAAAATTTAATTATTAAATGTTATAAGTATTAAAATTTTTGTTATTTGACAAACTATAAAATTTATGATAGAAGGAACCACATTTTGCCTTTTCCTCAGCAGATCTGGTATGATAACTGATAAACAGAAAATACTCTGAGTTAAAACATACACATCTACTTAAGGTTAGAATCCAGACCTTTAGCCTCCACATCTAATGCTTGGAAGCTTTTCCACAGAAAAAAAAAATTTCTGCTGAAAGTCATTGCTGTATGCAGCCTTAATGCTCTTTATTGACATCAAAATATTTCCTAGCATTTTATTTCATTGAAACTCACAGGAAGGCATTCAGAATTGTTGTCCATTTGAGGAATTGTGCCCAAAATTATTTACCAGTTCACTTAAATATCAGTTTTCCTATCCCTGGTCAATTATCTGTTTACCACAATGATAGAGCAACAGAGATGCCAGTGATATTTAAAGTATTAGCATCATGAATGGATTTTTCACTAACTAGAAAACTTTGATTATGTCCCTTTTAAGATGCTTACCTTATACTTTGTATCAAAACATTATAGTTTCTTAGAATCTATAAAATACTGAAAATGTTACACTTGACCCATTCATGCTGGTTATATAGCTGTGTATGGGAATTATTTTCAGAAAGAATGTAGTTTGCAGAGGAATTAATGTTGTTCTTAGTAGTTAAAAACCCCTACATTCTCTCTTCATTATGTCTACTGTGAGAAGTATGTAAACCCTAATGCCCAAAGGTTCAATGAGAGTGGCAGGTCAGCCCTGGCATGATGCCTCTCCCTGACTCAAGCCACGCCAGGTTCTCATTAGGACTGTGAGGTTCCCATTTGCAGTGTCCTAGAGGACTCTTCTCCCCAGGATATAATTAGTTTTTCAAAACTGGTGACTAGCTACATATTCTATATTATTATTACTATTGCTACTATCACCATATTTATTATCACTTTTTCCGAAGGCACAGCTTGCACTTTTATTTTCTACGATTAGTACCATAAATTTATTAGGCATTTGTTCGTTTTTATTTCTAGTACCTCTTATCCATTTTAAATTCTATTTTCTCTATCTAGAGTCATCCCCGTTATCTTATTTGACTAGTTTCCATATTTTCAAGGTCAGAATTAACTCTACTCATTCAGTAAAGGCTTCTTTTATTTTCACTGTCATTATTAACATTTTTTTTGCACATAGTTATGGCCACTTTCTGCTTATCATTATATATGTGATTTTGTTACTAATCTTTCACCATTCTCCATGATGGAGACTGTGATGATGGCACAGGATAAAGGAAGATTTCCATAGTAATAATAATTGGAAGATACATAAGTATACAGATTTGTCTTAATCTTCTGCCTGGTTCCATTGCTTGTTATAGTCTTATCATGCACTGACCTAACATTAATGAAATTACATTAAATAAAAACCATTGTGTTATGTGCTTTGGATTAAAAAAAAAGGGGGGGGGAAATCCAAAATAAAAACTAAACACACAAAATCCTCGTATAAGGGGAAGCAAAATTTATGAAAAAGATAACAATGTCAGAGACTATTCTCACTTTGAAAAGATATGGATATTGGCACATCAGTGTATAGAAGGAATGATTAGTTTGTCTAAGTGGAGAGTATGTGAATAGTCATAAAAAACTTCATGAAAGAAATAATAAG